CTGCACTCAGACGGGGCATGGAATGGCTTTATCCACCAGGATTGGCATCCGACAGCTTATGGGGCACACGAACTCCAGCCTTAAGCTCGGCTGGTCCAGAGGGACCTGGCTGACTCCTTCCTGCCCTCAAGAATGGGAGAAGGAGCCAGCACTGAAATGCTGCCTGGAAGAACCACGTTGTCGGATGAACTGGTCCATGTGCGGTTCAGTGCTCAGGCTGACAGCTGGGTGCAGACACCGGAACATCAGGCTCCATGGTGTTTGGCAGAGCAATGCATGGACAGCCTGAAGCACACAAGCACCAGAGATCACCACTGAGTTTGGAAGAAGCCCAGATGAAGGACGAACCCAAACTCAGGGATCTCTGGCCATTGGGCTTCCACGCATGGACACACACATAATGCACCAGAACAACCAGAGCTTCACATGGTCAGAGATTGTCCCTTTCCCCAGAGAAGCTGAAAGGAGCAAAATGTATCAGCTTCCTTCTGCTCTGAAGTTCATAAACTCACTTTAGGGTCTAAGTCCTTGGGAGCATACAACATATTACATAGGTTGGGCCATGATTCTGTGCACACAAAAGCGGTGATAATTGAGAGTGCAAATTAAGGGAGCAAATACCCAGCAGGTTTCCATGTGCCACAGAGGGTATTTGCACCAGGGGAAAGGCTGTGCTGCAGTAACTGTGTTCCTCCAAAAGTACCTCTGCAAGCAACACTCTCCTTACCTACACTGAGCCCAAAGTGAACCCTTCGACACAATGTAAATAGCTTGGAATAGATGGATTTGAAAGCAATTAAGAAGCCCAAATCCAAAGATTAAGACATTTCACTCCAAGTTTGCCCTCGCTTCTCTGCTCTGTCTGCAAATCCCATAATCCTCAGCTTCCAAAAGCCTTTGCTCCTGAAGACAGTATCTCTGGTGTCATCTCCCCTCTCAACGTGGTTTCCTTCCAAACTACACGGTGAAAAAGGTGACCTCCTGCCTGACGTGCAGATCAACCTCATCAGTGACAGGAGCTGGAGACCTCTCTGTGCTGCTCTACATCCCACATGTAAGGGCAGGAGCCAGGCAGGGCAGAGCTGCAACTGGCTCCCAGTGTGATGGAGCATGGTCCCCGTGGACCCAGTTGGACACAGCACATCCGTGTTGGAGCACAGGGACTTTCCTCTCACCTGCCAAGGGCTTGTAACCAAGAAACCTGGCAATCTTTTGCTGGCAGTGCTCCTGCTCCTCATAGGTCAGCAGCTGGTAGATAAACTGCCAGATGACTTGCTTGGCTGGTGTGTCCAGCACCGGGTACACATCCACAATGAGAGTGTCAATGTTCCTGCAGAACGGGAAAGAGAGGGCTGGGCAGTGAGCGCATCCCTGCGGCACAGTCCCGCTTCCCTGGGCTCTGCTGGGGCTCTGCCATCGGGCTTCAGCACAAACGGATCGTTACAGAGGTGTTGGACTACAAGGAAAGGATGAGCCCTTCAGGAAGTGGAGTTGTGCAGCTGGGGCTAATGGGGAGCATTGGGTGATCAGCAGCACCTGACAGACAGGGATAAAACCTGGTTCCAGGGAGGGACAAGCTGGGTTGATGGGCTGAGGTTTGTTAGGCTCAGTGCTGGGTTCTGCACTTGGGTCACAATAACCCCATAGAGTGCTCCAGGCTTGGGAAGAGTGGCTGGAAATCTGCTTGGTGGAAAGAACCTGGGGATATTGGTCCACAGCAGGTAAGGATGAGCCAGCAGCGTGCCCCAGTGGCCAAGAAGGCCAAGAGCATCCTGGTCTGTATCAGCAGCAGTGTGGCAGACGGCAAATGAGTGCTGCATGCCCTGGT